TTCATAGGATTTGGTATGAGATCGACGATATCGATGAGATTGATATTCAAATATTTCTTCTTAGAACTTATTGATTTGACCCCATAAGTGGGACCAAGCGGGTTGCCGCCAGAAGCAGAACCCCGTATTTCTTCTAGAGAATCTCCTAATTGTTCTAGAGCAACTAGAAAGAGATTCTTGAACCAGAAAGAATTCGGTTCAGATGTAGGATACCTATCCAGAAGTTTTCGCAACTCAATCGTGGATGATGGAATCATCAAAGATTTGACCTTTTCGAACTCTGTCTGTAACTCACTAAAGACCCGGGAAACAAAGAGAAGATGTGTACGAACGAGATATCCAGCAACAAGAAGAAGGAAAAGGGTTGAATAGAGGAACTCCCGAACATTTGGCATCAGATGTGTCGATATCAATGGTGACTCATTATTTCGATGAATCCTTTCTTCGGACAGAAGAAGATTATGTAAACACTTACTCGAAATCTCACTTATCAGATTCCGTTGTGGAAGACACAAATTTTTCTGAATAATTCGCCACAACATACCCGATCCATGCATAATATCGTGAAAAATGGATACCAATTTTGGATTGCTACTTAGTATCGGCAATAGGTCTGAAAAAGTATCTAAAAATATCCAATTTAGATATTTGTACCCTGTCGAAGTAAGGAACCACGGCATATATGTTTGGAATAGATTCCATTTTGAGAGAGTTGAAAAAGCACTATCTCGTTGAAAAGTTCTATACAACTGACCTTTCTCGACGCATTTCTTTAGACAAAGACTCCGTTTTTTCCTCTTTTCGGATGGTAAATATTTCTCAGAACATGGAGTGTGAATCAAACCCATGTTTGAATTGAAATTGCGATACTGATGCAAGTTCTTACCTTCTGAATCAGATAGATTCATATCTGACAGAGGTTGACAATAAGTTCTTTCCAAATTGACTATTTGTGCCTCTGTTAGAGGTGTTCCAGAAATGTCTGCGGTCGAGTAAATAGCTCTACGAACGAATCGATCGGATCGACTTAGAAAATGGAAAGATTGGTACAAGTTATACGTTTCGTCACCACTTTGTGGAAAATCATTAGGTATGAATATGTTAGATACCTGTGACTCGATTGGTGAAATAGTATCTCTCCCCCAAAAAGCATGTTTTTTTTTACCGACGCCCAAAGAAAATATTTTGTTGCGAATGAACAAGATATTGAGGAATTGTCGATACGTAAAATCATAATTGTTGATCCGGGCCTTTTCCAAAGAAAAGGGGAATCTTGTCTTACAATAGAAGCAAAAGTGATGTGGATTATTCAAGAATCGAAGTCGATTTGCTTTATAAAACGAAGATATCAATGAACTTTTATGAAATGGTTTCGCGGGATTCAGCCAATTGTCTTGATCGTGGAATATCAGTGAGAAATAGGAATCCGTGTTATCCAAGGATTTCCCGCGATTATTTCTAGTATGGAATGAGTCCCTCAGCCACTTTGGTATCTTATTGAACCAAAATGGTGATATTGTTCCTCCATTGATCAAAAATTTGGATTTTTGGGAAGTATCATGACCATCCAATAAGAAGGGTTTTCTTTTTTTCAAATGAACAATTTGAAGACCTATTGATTCTAACAACTCATTGCAGAGTTGATCATTCGGACCTTTCAATTCATAGATGTAGATCTTGGACCTATGAATGGGGATATTCCCGAAACTCACACAGAAAAAAGAAAGTGAGTTAGACAAAAAGAAAAACAACTTGGACAAAAAGAAACGAAGTGGCTTAGACAAATCTTGTTTGTCGATAACCTCAGACCAATCAATCAAATATTGATTAATACGTAATCGATCAAACATTACTTGAAAATGGCTCTTCTGCTCAGAAACGAAATGTTCCAAATGTTCCTGGAAATTCTTGCTCCCATTGGGTCCTTTGTATCTATATGCATCAAGATCCCGATTCATGGATCTCTCGGTTCGAGAAATTAAAATAAGAGGATCGAACCATTTCTTCTGACTCTTTTTCAAATTCGATAAATGTTGGTTGATCCTATATTTCATTATATTTCTATGATTCAGAGTATCCTTTACTATTCCTATTTGATCCCTTTGAATTCCATATTCGAAGTTGCGATCGGATCTATTCATTAAAAAGAATCGATTCAATACATTTCTTATGTACCCATAGGTACTATATTGGATTTGAATCAGATTTCGGATCAATCTATATTGATTGGCTGACTCCATTATGTTGTTGCTAGCAAATACCACTTGTGAATCTTCCAAATCATTCCCGCAGGAGATCCGGACCCATTTTTTTCTGATCCTTCGAGAAAAAGCTTTCTCCTCTTCATAAAAAATAGGAGGTAGAACCAATAAAGATTTCTTTTTCGATTCATCCCTGGAGTTGAATACCCCATTCAAGAATTTTTTTTGATCCAATCCGTAGGAATCAATAGAAAAGGCAAATCCCTTATGATAGACCAGATCCGGCTCGGTTATTGATA